GGTCCGGGAGATATAAAACTAGGCCGCCTATATGTAAAATTTAGTTGTGAACAATTTTACTTAGGAGGCCAGGAAAGATTTACTTAATAAATTATTTAGTTATTGCCAGTTTATTATCAGAGAATTTTGGTACAAGTAATCGTCGGAAAGAGTTAATGATTTGCGTTGTTATCCCATCCCCTTTTTCTCTTACATGATTTTCATGTAATCATATCATCATTTCCTAAATTATATTTTATTAATTTACACCAAAATTCTGTGCTCCATCTATTTATAGAAATTTATTGAACACAATCAGTTACTTCTAATATTTGTAGTCGATTTTGTCTTAGTTGATTTTATCGACTTAGTCGACTTAGTTGACCGATTTTTAGAAAAATCGACTTAGTCGATTAGCATTAGACCATCATCTAACCAATTAAAAAAATTAATTTATAATTCGAGTAGTTGATAATCAAATTACTGCAAAACAATGACTTGAGAAGATATTACATAATATTCATACTACATGATAGTAACTTTTCCTTAGTAATTGTTATTGTATAACGATAATAGGATAAGCATAAAATTATGTTGGGGTATTATTATATTTAAGCAATCATATCTTGCTTCAAACAAGTTATAACAATAAGAACACCTTTTATGGAATTGCATATATTCGCTAAAATTCGATAATTAAACAATAAATAGTTTGTATAATTTAAAATTCCTTAATATATAAATTATTTATTTACATGAAATTGTAAAAAAAAAAAAAAAAAAATACATTATTCGAAACAAAGAATTGATTATTTACAATGACTATAATACTATCTAAAATTCTTTAGAAAAACCTCTCTAATGCACTCTCACTAAATGCATAACCTCTCTAAATGCGCTCTCAAATGCTAGCATTGATCTCTATCAATATGCTTTTTCTTATTGTTCTCTAAATGCACATTATCAAAAGTTTGGTCCATATAGTGTGCACTTAGAAAGACCTAACTGTAATAATCTAGAGCATTATTGTACCGTATACAGTACAAAGGTCAAATAATAATATTTCTTGGTGCTTATTGTTTGAATAGTGGGCTGATGCACAACACTTATTAAGGGTTTAGAGTCATTCAGGTATTGATCGTAATCAGAAAAATCATTCCTTTCAGTTTGTCGATTTTGGCTAATTCGTTTCTTTTTCACAGATCATAATAAAATAAAGAACATTTGTGATTATATAATATTTTGCCTTACTTTTTTTAAAATTGAATTCGAAGAAAGCTATATGAATACATTTTATTCCTTCACAATAACAACAATACTATTAAATCATTAGTTGTAAAGTTAATGTATAAGAATTTATACAGATATATACGCATGAATTCAAAAAATGTATTTTGCCTATGATTGATTAATGCAATAAAAAAATAAAATAAAAAAAATCGTATATTAACCCAAAGTTTTTGTATTGATTAAAATTTTACCTGACAAATGTACAATGATCAAATATTCAATGATGAAATTGTTAGAGAAAGCAGTATGCTACAAGAACCTGAAGAACCCTATAATATAGATAAATATGATAGTTTAGATGTTAATAACAGTTTAGATGTCGATGATAGTTTAGATATTGATAAAAATTTAAGCAATGACAATTTAAATGATGTTAATGATCCTATAGATCAATCCTTACCTATTACTACATATTTTCCACCACGCGAAGCTTCTACAAAAAGCAAAAAAAAAATGAAGGCAATAAATAGTAAAACAAAACCCTGAAAAAGTTGGATATGGGAATATACTCGCCGAGATAAAGCAACTAAAAAAAAATATTGTATAGTCCATATAGATAAAGGTGATGGTACTTTAAAGCATTGCGATACAGAGTTTAAACCTAAGACATCAACAAGTAGTATAGCTGCACATTTACGTACTGAACATCAGATTTTCAAAATAAAAAAATGGGAAGCACAACCATCTATATTAGCTACCTAACCAAAGATTGATATAATGTTACAAAAACAGGCAGAAAGCAACACTCCTCTTTCAGAAAATCAACAAATTCGTATTGCATATCAGCTAGTTGCTTGGATAGTAGAAGCAATGATGTCCTTAAATTGTATAAATAATGTCAGTTTTGGGATTTTTGCTATGAGATTAATCGACGGTTTGAGGTTCCCTGCACTAACATGGTTAAGAACATAATGAAAGAATCAGTGTTTCATACACAGACTACTTTAAAGGAGATAATACATCAAACAATGTTTTCTGTTTGTATAACAACAGATCTATGGACACAAAATCATGTTCCATATATTGGTATAACAGCACATTGGCTTTCTGAAGACTTTACAATGTACCAATCTCTAATTACAATTGAGAATTTTGCCTACCCACACACAGGAGATCAGATCGAAGACTTTTTACGTAAAGTTCTTGCTAAATGGGAAATATTTGACAAACTTAGTGTTGTAATAACTAATAATGTGTCATCTATAGTAAAAGCAATTCGGCAATTAGGCTCTACTCATCTTGGTTGTATGGCTCACACTATTCATCTTGCAGTTACAGATGGTTTGAAAGAATGTGAAAACTTAATTGGACATGCAAAATTATTAAATAACTTTTTAGTAAATATGATAAATATAGATCAAAATTTCGGATAATCCAATATGAGATAATTGAAAAAAAAAACACAAGTCAGCTGATTATAAATACACATATCTTGAATCCTATATTAAGTAACACCACCACCAGGTGGAACTCTACATTTTTTATCCTTCAGCAGCTTCTTGAACTTCGGGATTCCATTTCAGAATTGGCTACAAACTTAGTAAATGACCCAGATCGTACAATCCGTGCAGATGGTAATACCCTAACCGAAAGAATGCTATCAAATGAAGAGTGGAAAGGGCTAGAAGAATTATGTTAAATTTTGCAAGAGCATCAATATTTATAGTTGGTGACCAATACCTAACACTAAGTATGATGTACCCACAATAAGACATCTTTTTAGAAATTTAGATCAAATGGAAAATATACTTACATATCCCTCCATTATCGAAGCACACAAAACTCTCCGTACATCATTGGCATTTCGATGGGATGACCCCAAAATGGATGGATGGCTCGCAACATTTCTTGATCCCCGTTTTAAAACACTATCAATTGTGTCACCTACAATGCAACAAGAGACAATACAAGAATTACGTAGAAGACTTGAGCTTTCTCAGCAAGAAGAAAACATACCAATTACTAATCAAGTTTCAAAAACAGACATGGCTTCTTTCTTTGGTGATGAAATAGAATCTTCTCCCCTTTCACCTGTTGATCTCGAACTTCAAATGTATTATTCAATTCTCGAAATCCCCAAATATGATCCAAAAGACCCTCTTTATGAGAAATATAATCCATTAAAATGATGTAGAGAACATAAAAACTCATTATCTCTTCTCGCAAAGCAAGCACGAATCTTTTTAGGAATACTGGTGACCTCTGTTTCCTCAAAACGACTCTTCTCCGATGCAGGAAATACTATAACTGATAAACGTAACTGACTAAATTCAGATACAGTTCACGATCTATTATTCTTAAAAGAAAACTCTAAAATTATTAATGTATATTCTTGCTTATAACAAAAAAAAAAAATCATTATGTAAATTATTATATAACTGATAAAAGAATGTAAATTATATAAAAGAAAAGAACACTTAAAAATTATAGAACATTTATAAATTATAAATCATATAAAAGAATGTTTAAAAATTATAAATTTTAGTTTTTTTTTAAAATGCTATTTGTATTCTTTTATGGTATTGAAATAAAATTGTATCTGGCATACCAGTAGTTCTGTGGACGATAGTGATAATTGTCCAATTATATACATGTTTAGCACATAATAAAACTTAACCAATCAGGTTAGTCAATTCTATCATAGTCAATTATAGTCGACTAAGCCGATTTTAAAAAATCGACTTAGTCAAGTCGATAAATTTAGATCGACTACAAAGACTAGTTACTTTGTTATTTGGTTTTTATTAATTGTATACAACAATTTGTGTTGCAAACCTTATTTGTACTAGTACCTGAGTCATCTTTGTAACCCAATCATTCTAGTTATATACCAGTATTACATCTGTAATACTTCAATTATACAATCCTTGTTCCTATCTATCCCCTTTGTAAAATTATTATCTAATTATTAGAAATTCTCCTAAGTTTCTAATACAATATTCATTTAATTTATAACAAATTTCAAAAATGCCTACATTAACCAACCAAGATCCTTATACTGCAGATCTTAATTACTTCTACCAAAACTATTCTAACAGTTTTGGAATTGTCTTTTATGAAGAAGAAAATAATAACAACACTTGTCCAATTCTTTCTAAAGTCAAACCAACTTCTTGTTTAACTAAAAATCTCAGATCTAACAAAATTATTCACTTTTTTCAAGCTTCTACCTCTACTTCTGTGATTACTTGTCTTTGTGACAAATATTACATCAAATTCATTTCAACTACTAATACTAACCATATCCAAGCTACTGAATTCATTACAGTTCATATTAACAGTAATACAAAAAAGAACTTCAACAAACCAGTCCAACAACTCCTAACCAATCTCTTCTTTTCAACTGACAATATCCTTTTATCTCTTATTCTTGATATACACTACTATACCTGCCCTAAATGTTCTCTTCCAATTGGCTGTACCAAGAGAAATAATTGTCATTACCTAAATGAAAAATACATCACTAAAAACAATGAAGTCTATCACCTTACCTATATGACTATCTTATTTCAACATGAAGTTAGCTCATCTTAAACCAAGAAAAATCTTACTCAAACCTTCCAAAACATCTTATATGAATCCTCTCATACCACTAATCTCTTTACTATCTCTTCTTATCAAACCTCTACTTTTTCTGATCTTATTGACTTCTTTTTTGCTACAACTACTAATACTAATCCTATCTCTAATCAACCTCCTATTACTAACATTCTTGATAATACTAATTTAAATCTAAATAACTCTAACAATACTAACCCACCTAACAGTACTTTTAACAAAACCCCTCTTCAAACCTACTCTAGTATTGCCAAACCAAAATCTAAACCTACATATGACTGACTTGCAAATTTTTCAATCACTGAAGAAATACAATCTAACAAAAAATTACAACCTATATTTTCTCTTCAACTCTTCACTTTCCTTAAAAAATTTCTTTATAATTTTTATTCTGGTAAAAAAATTAAACCTGTTACCTCTATTTAACCTGCACTCAAGGCCTCATTTTATTATATTATCTGTATCATGGCTGAACAATGGTCAAAATTCTTAACTGACCTTATCTATAGTAGCAATCCTAATATTGACAAAAATGCTACTATTCCCTTTAATCTTCTTGAATCTACTCTTAAAAATCTACTCCTTAAATTCACAACTATTCTTTTTACAAAACTCAATTATCTTGAAATCTTTGTCTTACTAGTCACCATTCTTCTATATACTACTCATAACCATCTTCAATTCTGCCTCAATCTTGCATGACTTCATCTCTTTTTATCCAACAACTACTAATCAATTGATTATCAAAAATTCGTTAAAGATCTAAAGCTTAGACCTAAAAAATTCAAAATTGAATCTTTCACTCAAATCACTGATCTTGCCCAAAAATACCTTACTATTCAATCAGATGCTAGATTCAATATCAAGCTCTTTTTTAATATTCCTAAAACACTATTTCTGAAAAGATTTTGCATTCCATCTTTAAAAAACTCACTTGATCATTTTAATTTCTGGTTTGAAACCTATTACTCTTCTTATAGTCAACAATTTTCTTCTACTATTGACAAAAAAAAAGTTAAAACTTCACTTCGAATTCAATTTCATCAGCACTTTATTCTTCAACTCTCTAAGCATCTTCCTGAATCCTATATATTCTAGAAACCCAATTCACTTCATGAAAGACATGAAGAAGCATCTTGTATTGCAAATTTTCATTGTCTTACTTGTGACAACAAATCATGTCAATATCTTAATGATAAAAAATTTCATGATAGTACCAAACTCTTTAATAATATATTAAGCAAATCTTACCTAACATTTTCTCCTCAAGATGATGAAACATGGATTCATTCAACCTTTAACATCATACTATTTCACAAAAACAAAGAACATGTTGCATCACTCGACCAACCTATTCCTACCAAAGCTCTTGACAAACTAACAGACCAAGCTAAAGATTTTGTTTGTAATCAAAACAAAGTCAAAACAAATCCTAAACATTGCAACTATTACTTTTACTGCTACCTCTCTCTATATTACCAAACTGCTACAGAAAATCCCAATATACAGTCTCTTTTCAAGAAGGAGACAATCAATTTATTAACCAAAAACATTATTGATATTAAATTTCTTGCCCAAATTATTACCTACTTCAACATAGTAAAAAACCAAAAATCAATCTATTTACAAATTATTAAATACTTTAATGATATTGCTTATCCTGCAGCTGAGAAATTTTTAGCAAAAAAATTCAAACTCAACTTCCAATCTGTCTTGATTCTTGACTCACTTTTTTTACAATCTTCTTTTTAAGTTCCTTGTCTTTTACAATACATATTGAAGCAGCTACCATCTTATTAAATGATATAACCATTGTAGTTAATAAGGAGAATAATATAAGTAGGCAGGTGGACAAGCCTAATTATATAGAAGGCCAGGATAATGATGGTTAGACCCAACGTACAGAGCAGACTATGGTACTTTGCACAGCTGTGAGAGCTGAGCATATGGTGATTGATTCTGTAGAAGACAATTTTGAAAGATCATTTACAATATTTTTAATCTTCTATGATATTTATATATGCTTTAACAAATTCCTTCTTTATTATTATCTACCACTTCTTCCTCATGGTCAAACTATCCAAATCCTAATCCAACATATTGACAAATATAACAACAACAAAACTGTATCTAGTATTACATTTTCTGTAAATTCATCTTATAATGAAACTTATATATATCTTCCTAATAACACTCTTTTACCAGATCATACTGTTATTGTCCCATATCTTCTTCCTATATTCTATAATCTTCCTCTTAGATCTAACTTCTTCAATCCTATTTCTATTCCATCTGACTTATTTTTTGATAACTATTCTCTAATTCTTAACTGTAATTCATCCTCACCTTTACCTAACCCAACTCTACATCATCTTAATTTAACTATTGCTACACACAATGTTAGAAGCTTCAATAAACCTACTTAAAGAGAGGCATGACAAGACTACTGCCTTAACTACAACATATCGATTGCAAGCATTGCAGAAACTAAAATCTCTAACAAAACTAACCTCTTCTTTTGTAATAATAACTTTTTTACTTACTATTGGTCTAACTCCCCTACTTCTATTGAAGGCACTATTATTATAATTTGCAACAATCTTAAACCTCACATCCATAGTATTTATACTTATTTTGGAGGTGCTATAGCACTTAATATTTTTTTTCGAAGTAATATTAAGCTCTATATTATCTCAGTTTATCTGTTATCAACTGATATCACTACTTGTAACCAAACTCAAAATACTGTCATTAACTGGATCCAACAAGCCTCTCAACTTCACA